TCGGGGTAGAAGAGGAGACTCAGCTCTACCCCCCACCCCCCAGCTTCCTTTCCTAGGGAGTGGCAAGATGGAACTCGGCAGGAAAACAAATTCCTGGGACAGTGGCGTGGATCTAAGGAAAGAGTGAGCGCAGCCAGACAGGGAGAGCTCCCCAACCCGAGAGCCAACGGCCCCGAGGAGGAGCTAGGACCACGGAGGGGACAGCAGCCCCATGCTAAGCAACCCCAGAAAGGGACATTTAGACACATCTCCCCCCTCTGCGGAGCAGTCCCCGCTCTGCGTGGCACCCGACGCCTTCCTGAGTACTTCTCGCACGCACGTTGCTGTTCTGGCGACCAGGGCGGGGTGGCGTGTGGGGAAACTGAGGCAGAGAGACTCTCACAGCAAAGAGCTACTTAGAGCGGCACTGGGGTGGTTTAGAGCAGTCTGAGGAGCACGTGCTTGGAGGGAGAGAGCCCTGGGTTCAGATCCAAACTCCTCCATGTACGGGCTGTGGGCGTTTGCTCCTCCGTACAGTGGGAATTACCCCAGTTAGCTGGTGGGGTCCGGTGGGGTAGAGTGGGACGGCGTAGACACGCTGCCTGGCACAGGGCAAGGGTTCAAGAGGTAACAGTGCTCAGCCACCCCTTAGTTCAGTCTTCTTTCTATCTGGGCATGCTTTGTGCTATAAAGAAGTGGAAGGAAGGGAAGGGAAGGGAAGGGAAGGGAAGGGAAGGGAAGGGAAGGGAAGGGAAGGGAAGGGAAGGGAAGGGAAGGGAAGGAAAGGAAAGGAGGGAAGGAAAGGAGGGAAGAAGGGAGGGAAGGAAGGGAAGGGAGGGAAGGGAGGGAAGGAAGGAGGGAAGGAGCTTAGCTGGAGACGAAAACCTTCGACCCTGACCCTTGGCTGTATCTGACGCTCACGGGGCCCCACACCAGACACACCCCTCAGGCACACTAAGTTAGGGCTTATTTCTCAAGCATTTTATTCCCCTCGAGCCTTTAGGGGCCCTATGGCTTCTGCTCCCTCCGAACCGCCGCTCTGCGACAACAGGCGTCCGGCCCGCTCTGCGGTGGGTGAACCGAGGCCCAGAGGACGAGCAGACAGGAGGCCCCACGACGCAGCCAGCGGGCGAACCGGGCGAACGGCACTGGCCTCAGTCCTGCCCTCGCCCCGGAGCTGTAAGAGCAAGGGTGCCGGGCTCCCGTCACCTCTGCCACTTCCTCAGCCCCCGCCCCACCCCGTCCCCACCCGGAGGGTTTCAAGGCGGAGCCCAATCGCCTCGGGGCTGGCCGGCAGGCAGGCTGGGTGGTGGCGGCGGTTTCCGGGGCCTGTGCTTACTACACTCCACTTCCGTGTGATGACATAAGCCCTCTTTCTGCAGCAGGAGGCCACCACCACGACTCTCGGGTCATCAGGCCCGGGAGGGCCTGTCTGGGCCTCGGTTTCCCACACCTGGAAACCGGGGAGCACAGGACACCACTGGCATTTGTTTGGCCCTGGCTGGCCTTGGGCTCCCAGAGGATGGGCCTCGGAAGGCACCCCCACCCCCACCCTCGCACGGTTCTCTTCTATCCTCTCCAGTCTCTTTGCCCCGAGCCACCAAGTCTTTTGATTCAAAATTTAGACAGACGTTGACCAAGATCGCAGAGTGGCCAGAGGCTCTGGAAATGACTACAGCTGGAGAACCCAGATGAGCGGGGGCAGGGGTAGGATCTAACACTGCCCGTGGGGAGCCCCTCCGTCCTCTTCCCGCCGCTGCTCGCCCCTGGAGTGTCCACGGATAGATGTGGGACCTGTAGAGGGACTGCCCCGCCCCATCCAACTAAAGGATGGAAGCTTCAGGAAACCAGGCAAAGATATCGGGGCCAGGGGCTAGGCCCCACTGAGGGCTCCCCTCGTGGCAGGGATTCAGAAGTGGGGGCTTGAAAGGGTCTTAAAGAAACGTACCATGTGACTTGGCTTCCTTCCCCAATTTCGCCTTTGCCAACTTGCATTTCTTAGCAGCCACCCCTTCCCCTTCTCCCCCCATCAATCAGGCCTGTGTTGCAGCCCGGGGCAGGGCACAGCTCAGCCTCACCTCTCCCAGGCATCGTCCCCCTGCCCCCCACCCATCCCCAGGTGGAGAGAGGCTGGTTCTAGGCCAGCCTTGGGCCCAGGGAGCTGAGTCCCTATCTACAGGGGATTAATGGATAAAGGGATCACAGGGCAGGACGGACAGGGGCTGGCCTGGGAATCTCAGAGCAAAGGCGACTAGTCCGGGTTCAGGGGGCAGGTGGGCCAGACTGCAGGGAGACCTGGGGTAGTGCTTTTAGGGTCTGCTGGTGCCTAGACTTTCTCCCCTTATCTCACAGCCCCAGGTTCTGAAAGTTTCCTCCCCTGGCTCTCCCCAGCCCCCGCTGGCCTGTGAGATTTGCACACGGCCAGCTTTGATCCTCTTCCCAAGGAGATTATAGGGCCAGGAGCCCTGAGCCTGGCACTGCTCACCTAGTCTAACAGTTCCTGCCAGGACCTCCCCACTCACACAGGCGTGCGTGTGCACATGCGACACACGCACACACACACACACACACACACACACCCCAAACCAAGTCTGTCTCACTCCTGGCCCCCTTGTCCCAAGAGTTGGACCCAAGACTCGCCATTTTATTCTCATGGGAACTCAGACAGCACTTGAGTTAGATACAAGAAAGCACTTCCGGGAAGTCAGACAGCTGAACCTGGCACCAGGTTAGGCCCTTGACAGCTCCAAAGCCCTGGCCTTTCCCAACTCCCATACTCTAGCCTGCCACCCAGTCCTTTAGGTGGGACAAGTGACTCCTGGAGATGGGGTGGGGGGTTGATAGGGATCCAAAAGCATGGGGGGCTCTCCCCTACAGCTCCTCAGTGGCACCATCTGCTCCCTGTCCCGACCCCAGCCCTAGTCTGGCCCTATTCTCAGCTCTTTGATTAGAAACTGGGTTCTGTCCAGGCATTGTCTGCCTTCCACGGCCGGCTGCCCATTGAGGTCTGGCGTGTGCCAGGCTGGGCGCTCAGGCTGGAGTGGGAGGGGACAAGTGGGCTGGGCGCTCACCTTCCAGAAGCCCCCTAAGGCCTGGCTCTCCTGATGTTCAAATCTACCCACCCCTCCATCCGAGATCAGCAACTCGAGGCAAGGAGGGGGGGCATGTGGATGCTACTAGAGCAGTCTGAGTGGGAGGCAGAGATGATACCCATCACCCCCAAAGAGCTGGGTGCCGTGGGCAGGCACAAGCCCTTCTCCGGAATGGGGCTCAGAAACCTTCTGCTGGTCGTGCTAAGAAGGCAACACCAGCTTTTCCTCACTCCTCTGCACAAAGTGCCAATCCCATGGGGCTTTCCCACACTTTACTATGCCCCGTCTAGCCGGGGAGGCGTGGCGGTAGTAGAAGGGGCTTTCTTTGGCTCCCTCCTGTAAGATGGAGTCTAAAGGAAAACCCTCAGGGGAGGAGCGAGCACCCTAAGTCCCTTCCTTCCCAGCCCTGCCTGGTTCACAGTGACTGGGGCCACAGTGACTGGGCGTCATTTCCCTTTTATGAGGTACTTGGACTCTCCCGGGCTGCTGCAGATGTCATATTTACATTTCTCACTACCCCCCCCCACCACCACCACTTGTACCTCCCTCCCTCGACCTCCACAGGATCCTGCTGCAATGTCAGCCCCAGCAGCAGCCTGGCCCCGCCCCGGCCAGCCCACCAGGCACCTGCTCAGCTCCTCTTTGTCTTTCTGGCTGCTCAGGGCCAGAAAGGCTGTGTTCAAGTGATGCTGAGGCTGCACGATGCCTGGGTGGGAGGCACCTCATCTCTCTTCCTGGCCGCCAGAGCTGCAACCAACGGCCCACTCCTCCTCTCCGGGCTGCAGAGGACTGGCCAGATGCCTGGCGGGGGGTGGGGGGGGCATCCGCCCTGGGGCAGGAGGAGGAAGCTTTTCCATAGTCATCCCTGGTCCTGTCTAGAGTGACTTCCAAGGACTCTTGGAATCTGGGTCACCTACAACCCAGGGAATCCAGAGACCTGTCTCAGAGACCCACCCTAGCCCTGGAGCCAGTACCCCCACCCCCATCAGACGGGGCTGGGGCACAGATGGATGCATTTCTCCACCACCCCTGCCTTGGTGACCAGTCTCAGACTGGCAAGCTCCCCTCGACAGACCCCTCTCAAAGAGGAAAAGCCAAAACAAAAACAGGGAGAGGTGGTGCGGGCGTAAAGCGCCTCCACCCAACACAAAGGGCTCAACTTTGCATGATTTCCTGCCTCACACCTCTGTGTACCCCTCCCCGCAGAAGCCCCCTAGCCTGCTCCTCTCCCTCCTCCCCTCGGTCCCTGCAGGTCCCAGGTGAGACCATGCACCCCCCCCACCTCCATTTTATCTGAGAGCCTGAAGATGAGGTAGCAGGGGCACGCCCTCCCTCCGGCCGCCTCCGAGGTACGACCTCAGACACCCCGCTTCCTCCGTGCCCTGGCCCCATCTCCTCTTGGGACAGGGCCAGCAAGGTTCTCTCCAAAAGCCCTAAGTGCCCACAGCAGGCCAAGGCACCGCCGGCCCTTCCATTCGTCCCTGCACTCAGTCCATCTTTGTCTGCAGAACCGGATCCGGGCCGGGCGTGCTGCCTTCCTAGCCCGCCCGGGAGCAGGGAGCTGGCCGACTGGGGTGGACTGGGGTGGACTGGGGTGGACTGGGGGCAATCACCCCCTCCTCCTCCGATACCCCAGCATGAGACAGCAGCCCCCTAGGGGAGGCGAAGAGGAAACACACAGACGCTCCGGCCTGGGCCAGGGCTGGGGCTGGGTGTGAAATACCGGATTTCCTTGTTTATTCGATTTTCTGATCATTAAGGGCTCCCAGGAGGGGCCCGAAGTTACCACCCCAACAAGGCCAGCTTCCAGCAGCCCGCGGGCCGCGCATCTCCCGAGGCAGCCGCCCCGCTCCCGGGAGCCGGCTGGGCGGTGCAACGCGGCCCCACGCCCACGCGAGACAAAGCCCCGCGCGCCGTGCACGTCCCTACCTGACGGCCACCTTGACGCAGCAGTCCCCCTGGCCGGCCATGGTCCTCTGGCTGCGGGGTCCGCGCGTGGATCAGGGGCGGGGGCCCGGGGGCCCGAGCCCCGGGCTGCGGCTGCGGCTGCGGCTGCGGCTGCGGCTGCGGGAGGCGGGGGCGCGGGCACGGCTGGCGGGCTCTGCCGCGGCGGCCGGAGGGGGCATGCTCGCGGGCGGCGAGCGCAGGGGCTCAGCCGCGGCCGGGGCAGGCCCCCCGGGGCTCGGCCCGCGCGCCTCCTCGCGCCATCGGGCGGCGGCGCGCAGCTCCCCACGGCGCGGACACGCGCGCACACACCTCCCGCCCTGCAGCCGCCTCCCGCCGCAGCGCGAACAAAGGGGGCGGGGGCCCGCCCGGCCAGGCCCCGCCCCGGCCCCGCCCCCCCGCGCGGCTAGGCCAATCGGAGGCCGGGGACAGCGGCAGGGGGCGTGGCTTGGGCCTTTAAAGGGCCCTCTTGGCTCGCGGCCACGCTCGCTGGGGGGCCGGCGGGATGGGAGCGTCGCGGAGCAGGAGGAGGAGGAGGAGGAGGAGGAGGAGGAGGGCGCAGGAGCCCCCGCCCCGCCCCCGCCCCGGAGTCGCCGACCTCAGCCTCGATGGCACCTCCGTCTCGCGAATGAGGCCACTGGGTCGCAGAGAGGGGGCACTCCCCAAGGTCACGCCGGCTGGGTGGCTAAGCAAGGGGGGAAGACCCCAGGTCCCCCCGGGCGGAGCCCCGCGCTCCAACGCATCGCGCAGCGATTAGCGGTTTATATTCTGAAAGCCCCTGGGAAGCTTCCCTTCTGATTTATAGCAGAATTTGTCACCCTTTACTGAAGGAGATTCTTGCTGGTGACTAAGGAACATTATCCGCCGCCCCCCCCCTCCACCCTGCCGCGTTTTAAAGTTCATCTTTGGGTTGATTCCTGGCTATAGGCTCCTCGCCCTGATGGGCCCCTCCCTGCGCTGCACCGAGGAGGCTCCGTTGACCTTTGTGACCCGCAGATGACCCTTCCGGGCCTGGCTCACGCCCCGTTGTGGCTCTGGGGGGCAGAGGGTCAGGGTTGGAGGCCCGAGCTGCCCAGGGAGACCGGAGAACAAAGGGGGCGCTGGAGGCTGGAGCCGGCCGCCGGGCGCTTGGGTACAGAGGCTGGAGGGGCGAGGTGCGGGGTGGGGGGAAGGGGACCGAGCAGTACAGCTGCCTTTGCATGGATATAAACGACAAGGGGGAGCCCTGGAGCCTTTAGACACAGGGCAGAGATGGAGAAGAGCAGGGCTCTGAGTAGTGCCAATTCCCTCTCCACTCCACCCTCCCTCCCCCTGAGCCCAGACACCTTCTCCCTGCCCCGCCCCCCAACTCCCAACATTGGGGCCATTCACAGGGCCCTCACCCGTGGCCCTCCCTTCCCACACTCCAAACAGCTCCCTCTCCTGGAAGGAGCCCAAGAGGAGGACCCAGCTGCAGCTCCAGATGTGGATGATGCTCCCTGGGGGAGGGGGAAGGGGACTCAGACTCCAAGCCTCTTGCATCACCCTCCAGGGATGATGAAACTATGTCAGAGATTTTGGCAAGGGTGTGGGGTAGCGTCTGAGGACTTATCTGTTGGTGGCATCCTCCTCCCTTCCCTCCCCTCCTCACCCCCTCGGATAACCGCTCCATCCAGTAGTCCAGATCACTGCTAGCCTCAAACCAGAACAATGATCACTTCAAGGGCAAATTTCAAGGGCAAATCAACACCGCTCCCCCCCCCCAACCTGATGGAAAACAGGGCACCACCAGCCGTGCCCCAAGGGTGGAGGAGGAGAGGCAGGCAGGCAGGTGGCACAGCTGGGATCCTGCACCTTTTATTAGCATTTGAACCTAGAGGAAGCTCTCTCTGGGGGCCAGTGGGTCACCCCTCCCAGAGCAGCAGGCCTGTGGAGTGTTGAGTCAGATGCTGGACACTCTCTCCCCATCTTCCAACCAAATAAGGGATGGGGAGGCAACTAACATTTAGGGACCACCTATGAGAACCAGGTGTTTTACATGCAGAGTCTCATTTCATTCTCCTAGCCTTGTGAACTGGGCCTTATTATCTCAGTTTTGCAGGGGTGGAGAATGAGTCTCACCCAGCACATAAGCGACGGACCCAGGATTTGGACTCACAGCGTCTTGTTCCAGACTTCCCAGATCACCTCTAGGCAGCTGCCCCAGGGGAGGACGCTGGGCTGACCCAGGCTTTCCCTTCAGGTCTAGCCCTCCTGGATGGTGGTGCTGCATTTTTGCAAAACTGCTCTCACGAGAAAAAAAAAAAAAGAAAAAGAAAAAGAACTGCTCTCACGCCCACCAGAGGCTTGACTTGACTTCTCTGGGGCTCATCTCTTGTTTCCTGTCTCTAGGAGGTCCCCTCTGACTTGAGAGTAGGTGACCCTTCTGACTCACAGCTTCACTGCTGGGAAATGGCGCCAGAGCTGCTGCACCAACCTCCCCTCCCCCCACCCATCCCTCCAGGCTAAAAGATGTTGAGCCAGGAGGAGCAGGGAGGCACTGGGGGCTGGAAACTCAGGCCACCTCAGCAGCTCAGTCCTGGGCCCCCAGGGAGCAGCAGGGCAGCTAGGCGTCCAGCTCCTGGGCGCTGCTGCCCAGAGGTGAGGCCGGCAACTGGGCACAGAGGTCAGAGGGGGATCCGCGATGTAGCAGGAAGAGGCTTAAGCTGTGACTCGGGAAGATTTAGGTTAGATGGGTCACAGGAGGCTGGGGACCGCGCTGTCCCTGCCCTCTCAGCTCAGCCTCTACTTCCTCTCCCTGGTTTGTTCCTTCCCACTCCTTCCCACCCCTTCCCACCACTTATCCCTCCTCCCCTCTCCCTCCTCCCTCCTCCCCTCCTCCCCTCGGCTCTTTCCTTCCCAACCCTGAAGTTAATCTTGCCTATATGCCTGTCTCCCCCAAACCCCACCCCTCTCCTCTCTGCCCGACAGAAACAGGCAAACACATGTGCACTCTACCCGGGTTTGGCCCCGAGTCCCCCACTTGGATGGGGGTTTGGGCCCCGGTTCTTATCCTGAGCTGGGGCCTTTTCCCACCAGGTGTCTAGGGGCCTCCATCATTTCTCTTGACAGGAGCCGTGGGCGTCTGGGCAGATGGGAACGTGGGGGAGCTGAGGAGGACCCTCTCCGAGGCAGGAAGCTCCCACTCCTGTAGTTAAAATACTGTAGCAGCAACTCGAGGAAGCCATCTGGCCCGGATCTCTCAGGCATGGCCTGGCTCTCCACTGGCGACCCTCGAGTGACAAATCAGTACACTGAAGAGATGCCCTGAGGCTCTGGAGAAATGTCTCCAGAGGTGACCTGCACCACCTGCACCACCTGCACCACCTCTTGAGTCCCGATCCCTTTTATCTCCTTTAGGGTTAGCACCAAGCATTGGCATTTGCAGAAACTTTCTGGGCACCGTCCTGAAGTTCTGGGGGTGGGAAACAGAGAGTTCTGGACCTCCGGTCCTAACGGCCGGCCCCACCCCGGCAGCTGTGCTTGGGTCCATGGGAGATCGGGCATCAGCCCATCCTGCCAGCCAACGGTCCAGCCACACACCGCCCAGTGCCCACCTGGAGATGGAGCCCAGCTGCGCCTGCCAGCGGGAGCTCAGAATCCCAGAGAGGGCTACTGGGTGCAGATTCAGAGGTCTGAGCTCAGCCTGACTTCCTCTGTTACAGAAGGAGGCAGACTTCGCCTTAGAGGAAACCAGACTTCGTTATAAATAGCAGGGAGAGAGAGAACTGCTGTGGATTATAAACACCCTGTCAGTCCTAAAAAAAAACCCAACTATTTTTGGTTCCAAATGTTAATGACAGTTTAATTAATACTCCACATAACCTCAGACATGGGCTTTCCATCCACTTTCTACTTTGCCATGCTTCCCAGGAGAGCCAGAGGCAGGAGGAGCAGGTGTAGACAAATTCTCAACGTCACAGAGCCCGAACGTTGAAAAGAACCCTAAGATCATCCAGTTTTACAGCTTCATTTTCAGGTGAGGAAACTGAGGCCCAGACGGGTAAAGAGACTTGTCCACGGTTGCACAGTAAGCTAGTGAGCAGAGACCAAAAGCAGGGTCCCCTGAGTCCCAGAGCAGGGCAGCTCCCACAACGGCAAGGAGGGACCCAGAGGCTAACCACCCAAGACTGGGCTGCATGTGAGGTTAGGATTCGGATAAAAGCTAAGACTGTGCAAAATAACCAGAGACAGGGATGCCTGGGGGGCTCGGCGGTCGAACATCTGCCTTGGGCTCAGGACCAAGGGATCGAGTCCCGCATCGGGGTCCCCGCAGGGAGCCTGCTTCTCCCTCTGCCTGTGTCTCTGCCTCTCTCTGCGTGTGTCTCATGAATAAATAAGATCTTTAAAAAACAAAACAAAACAAACAAACAAAACAAAACAAACAACAGAGTCGGCCCAGAAGCCTGAGTGTGGTGCTCTGAGTCAGAGATGTGGGTTCAGATCCGGCGCCGCCACTCACTAGCTGTGCAACCCTTGGTGAGTCCCGGAGCTACTGCAAACATCCGCTCCCCCACCTCAAAATGAGGGTAATCCCACTCGCCTCATCTCAGGACTTGGACGAGGGGGAAGTAAGGTAACCTGGACCGAGCACCCAGTACGATGCTCGGCACTGCGCAGGTAGTCCTGTCCTTCCCGTGGCCCGTGGATTCTCCGCCCCCTCTTAAGCGGGCCTCGGTCCTTGAAGTGGACATGAAGTGTCTAAGATGAGAGTGGATGAGAGTGGATGAGGCTGGTGTGAACAAGGTGATGCTGTGTGGCTGGCCTCCACGCTCGCTGGTGATCCAGGCAGGTGATCCGGGCAGGTGATCCGGCAGGTGCCTCTGCTGGCCGCTCTGTGGGGAGGCCGGGGGTGGGGCAAGTGTTTGTAGACGCAGGACGACGGAGCCTGGCGTGCGGATCCCTTCTGTCCACAAACCCTCCTGCTCTCGGCCGGCCTCGCTGGCGGTTACCTGGAGGGCATCCGAGCTTCATTTTCCTCACCCCATGTGCTACCCTGGGCCGAGGATGTTACGTAAGA